CGATCAGGAATTTACAGTGTTCTCTCTGTAACAATCTTGTCAACTTTCAATGAACTGCCCTGAATTTTCTGCCCACCCCCAGACAAAGGAAACCAAAAAAATTCTCTCACTAAAAGCCCGCTACCACCTCATATGCAACCACAGAAATATTGAGAAGTGACCCAGGAATAAAACTTAGATTCCTGTAATTTAGCATGCCAAGAAAGACTTGTGAGCTACCCAGTTTCCCATTCTATTCCTAGATCTCATCTTCCTCTACAATAGAAAAATCAGGTGTTCATCATTCAATGTATATTTTATAGTCTTTACATAGCCTTCATAGTTCTTTTTTTTTTTTAAAACACTATATACTGTTGCTGTTTACAAAAAGGAAAACAAGTTCATCACTGGTGACTGATTATTTTTAAATCTTCCTATTAAAACACAACATGAACATATTAATCAGTGAACTTTCAATTTACAGTCTGAAACTTTTAAAAGTAAATTCTCAGATGTCATTCAACTAGCATTTTTTCTTTTCTGCTTCAGTTTTATACTAACCTGCTCTTATATTTTGGTGGGTCAGACAACAGTCTAAATAATCTGTGTTACAAACCTGTCAGGAAAACTAAGTCATCTGAAAACCATATCCAGAACTGGTCAACAGAAAACAAACCTGAAACTCCACGGTACATTAACAGCATCAAACTTTTATACTTAAGTTTTCTTTTATCTTAACGCTGCAATTAACTTCATAGGGCTATACAGATTTCCTCCTGAGAAATGGAGACAGTCTTAAACAATAAAAAGGGGGTTAATATGGGTGTTAGTAATGCGTTCAAAGTTACCAACATTATAGATAATTAAGAAAGTGTTAAAAAGTAGAATCATAGAATCATTAAGGTTGGAAACGGCCTCTATGATCATCAAGTCCAATCATCAACCCAACACCACCATGCCCAATAAACCATGTCCCAAAGTGCCACGTCTACATGTTTTTTGAACACCTCCAGTGATGGCGATTCCACCGCTTCCCTGGGCAGCCTGTTCCAATGCCTGACCAGTAGTAGTAGTACTTAGACCTGACGTATGTGCATGTACACTTCCATATACGTTTTTATTTAGGTAGAAATTGGAAGTGGGTGGGCAGAGGAGAGAGGGAAAATCTATTTTACTCTCTCAATTCCACTTAAGTGCTGCTTGTACTAGGATTGTAACAACCACATTCACTAATAAAATATTCTGATTTGGTACACATATATATTACAAAGCTCACAAGTCTCAATTCTTAAATAATTTAATGAGAACAGATTACCAAAATCATCACTGCCAACAGAGCAATAAACGCTAGAAGGTGTTTTTCAACCCCTCGGGTCATATCTGAACATCATCTTTCAAGTCCAGTTGCGCTGGTTGACAATACTGCTGTCCCCGAGCAGGGTTCTCCCCTCTGGAGTTTAGCTGCCTAATCCACTTCAGGCAGTCACGTGAAACTGCTGTTGAGAGCTAACTTACGGGCTTTGCCAGCACAGCAGGTTATAGGATCGCTCATTAATCTGCTCCAGAACAAAATGCCACCCATCTGCGATAGCTATAACCTCACACAACACAGCTATCTGTAAAGTGAACATCTCTCCGTGGCTTGAGATTAATTTGCACTGGGTGAATCCCCCCCAAATCAGACACGTTACTGAGGTGCTCAAATCTTCATCAACTGCCAGTGACTAAAAGATAATTATGCCTGCCACTGATAAAAGAGTGAAGGGGACCCATTCTAATACTTGATTTCCCAGTAACAGGTAAATATATTAGCTACTAAAGGGAGAAACATAGATACCTCAAGTTTCTAGGTCTTGGTTGAATTCACATAGAAGCAGGTAACGCAGATTTATCAGAATTTAGCCACACAAAGTTTTTCAGAGCATCACCACGTAAGTCATCCCCCAAAACAGAACTTGGAACCTAAGACCAGCCCCTTCCCTCCAGATTCTGTTTCAAGGCAGTTTCTTTGCCTTTGTGCTACAGATTCTCAATAGCATAACCAGTTACACGAAAAGTTAAAGTAGCCTCCGATAAGAAAACACAAAATGAAATGAGAATTTAAAGCTTCTGCACCTAGTATAGTTATATCTTTACTGACCCTATTTCTTGGTAAATATTTTTCATGTGTATTGTTACACTACAGGTTCATTATGCCTCAAGCTTTTTTGCCAGAAGGCCTTTCCTTTGCACCATGCCTTTTAATCCTCTGTAGGAAAGGAATAATGTAACCATTAGCTATACAAGAGATTTCAGATCTCTGTTACAGACAAATTTTCCTTCTTTAAAGTGCTTATTAACATACAGTTTCATACCACAGACAATTCCACAGAAATGTCCTTACCAAAAGTAATACCAAATCAAGAAATTTCGATGATAACACTCTTTGTAAAAGCAAACAATAACCAGTCTCACATGATCACCTTTGGTGATGGAACAGGTTACATATACCAGGATTGTATCTCAGTTTAATTCTACTTGACATGAACATTTAGGATGGCTTCAGATTCATTAAATGACTGTATAGAGTGTGGCTTCTTTCTAGGAAAGTTTTCAGGAGAACAACAATGAGAGAGGAAAATAGGTGGACACAGGTTTAAAGACAGTTCTACAAAAAGGCAGATCAAAGTTTATACTATAATTATTTTCTCTAAATATTTTTACTATATACATACTTTGTTATTTTAGCTGTCATAACTGGACAATACAGTCCCTCCAAATTCCCATGTTTATTTTCTTTGAAAATGCTAGATATGTGCAACTAAAAAGTCACTTACGTTCAAACTACTGTATCTTACTTCACTCAGTACTTCATAGTACTTCAAACAACAAATTAAATTGTTAGGGATACATACAGAAATTTAAATTCACTGAAAATAGTGTCTTTCCACAATAACAAGCAGCTGCACCAGCTTCTCATGGTCTGTGTACATCTACCAGGAGGATACTATAGCAGTATAATTCACTGCTTTGGTGTGTTTTACAGTAATTTCAAAATGAAGTGACACTTCTCCGTTTTATTTATTGCACAGTAAACATCCATGTGGGAGGAAGAAATGAAATTATGTAAGCATTCCTAGGTTTCAGTTTAAATCCAGACTTTATATTATCCCAGTGCAGGCTGGGGGCAGGGGTGTGCACAAAACAGTAAAGGAAGCGTAATTAAAAAAAAGGAAGTGGTAAAAGATTTCCCATTGTCACATCTTCCAGAAAGCACATCTCTTCAGCACAGGCTGAGGGTTTAAATATCTATGGCAGTCCAAAAAGCCAAAATAAGAACAGCCCATATTTAATGCAGCTATGAATAAACTGACTGGGTTACCAGCACAACAAACACAGACAATCCATATTGCCTTCCAATATCAACACTGAAGTTCTACTCCAGTTAATAAATAAGTACATGTAAAACTTTTATCATAACAGTTGTCACTTGAAGTCAATGGCACTTGAATTGTACTTCTGCTTAACTGCCTTCCCCGACTTAAATCTAATATATTACATAGTATACTTCAAAAACCCCAAATCTTAACAGAAATGGCAATGTATTTCTTAATTCAAAAGCCTTTAGATAATCAAATCAATACAGTTAAAATATTACCTGGGTCATTATGCGAGTGAGGCACGACAAAAACCTGAAGTGGTTCACTGTCCCATTCATTTTCATTGTATGTGATATCAAATCCTTGTTTCCACACGCCACCATCTGGATTATCGAAAGGAAGAATGTCATAGACATCCAACATCTAAAAAAGAGTAAAAGGAATATAAAACATGAATTCACAAAAACAGTTCTGCTATTAAAAACCACAGCTGTTTTCATGAAAAATGGATCAGCTTGTTCGTTACACAGGGAGAGATGAAGTGTCAAATGGCTAGAAAACTAAAAAATGAGAGCAAGTTTCAAGTCACACTAGGACACCCAAGTCGCAGCTGACAGGAAGAGGAGCGTTTAGCAGGCCTTGTTCGGAGGAAACTTAAATTGAGTTGATAAATGGTTGGAGTAAGACCCATAAGTCACAAAAATTATGACAGCTCACAACAGCGCTGGGACAGGAGGGTAGGGAGAGGATTATACAGAATAGCATAATACACTAAATAGGGGAATGCAGAAGATGAAGAGGACAAACTAAGCAAGCAGTAAGAAAGGATGGCAACATGAGCGAGATTGAGGCAAAAGTCAAACTCAGAAAAGGGAACTGAAAGAAACTATCAACGGGAAAACCTTCAGAACTATAGCCAATTGCTATAACAAAGCTCCTTATATATTTACTGTTGCCCAGTACACTAATTATACATGGAAGGACAAATTTCACTTGTCAATGCAAATAAGAATGTTACAAGTAAATAAAGAAACTCTAGAGCTACTTTAACAAGTTTCTATGAAACTTAGATACCAACAGATAGCCTCAAAGAGAATCTCCTAGTGTGAGTTTAGACCAAAGTTACCATTTCCAACTGGTTTGTTTTTTTTTTTAATGCTCTGGTCCACTTTTTAGGAAAGGCGGCAAACTTCATGGACATGAATTATCATCTAGACAAGTCTTTTACTGGCTCTGTAGTTTAAAAAACATGAATTAAACTTTAGTTTAGTTCCAACGCCATGTTAGAATCCAATTGTACACCTGAAAAATTTTCTTCAACAAACATTTCACTTCCACAAAAATAGCTTACAGGAGTCATTTATGACATGAACACACAACAGTTAAAATGTCACAGTGGCAAGTTGGTTTCTGTCCTGCTAGGAAACTTCAGAAAAATACAGACATCTGAAACAAGCACCTGACTAAAAAAATTAAGGCTTTGTGATGGGTTGACCCTGGATGGTTGCCAAACCCCCACCCAGCTGCTTGCACTCCCTTCTCAACAAGACAGAGGCAGAAATAGGATTAAAAGTTCATGGGTCAAGATAAAGACAGGGAGATCACTTACCAGTTACCATGACAGACAAAACAGACCTTGGGGAACATTTCATTAACTTATTGCTAATTACAATAGAGTTGTATATTGAGAAAAAAAGACAAAACTGAAAGACCTTTTCCCCACCCCTTTTCTAGTCCATTTCAACTTCACTCCTTTGTTCCCCAACTCTTCTATGCACAGCAGGGCATAAACAATCCAGGAGGTTCCTGGATTGCATCAATGACAAATTCCTAACCCAAGTGATGGAAAAGCCAGTGAGAAGAGGTGCTCTGCTGGACCTCATACTTGACAACAATGAGAGGTTTATTGGGGCTGTGAAGGTGAAGGTAGCCTTGGCTGCAATGACCATGAGATAGTGAAATTCAGCATCCTGAAAGGAGGGAGGGAGGGCAAAAAGCAAAATCACACCACTGGGCTTCAGGATAGCAGACTTCAGCCTCTTTGCTCAGTGGAGTCCCACAGGATAAGACCTTGGAGGGAAAAGTGGCCCAAGAAAACTGGTTAATAGTCAAGCTCCTCCTCCAAGGTCAAGAGCAGTCCATCCCAACAAGTAAAAAGTCAGACAAAAATGCAGGAGGCCTGCCTGCATGGATGATCAAGAAGCTCCTGGCAAAACTCAAGCACAGAAAGGAAGCATACAGAGGGCAGAACCAGAGTCAGGTAATGCAGGAAGAATACAGACACACTGTCTGAGCATCCAGGGATGAAGTTAGGAAAGCTGAAGTCCAAATGGAATTGACTCTGGCAAGGGATGTCAAAGGCAACAGAAAGGGCTTCTGTAAGTATACAGGTGACAAAAGGAAGGCTAGGGCACACTGTTGAAGGAGATGGGGGACTTGGTGACAGGACATGCAGCTTCTTTGCCACAGCCTTTACCAGGAAGACCAGCCTTCAGGAATTTCAGGCCCCAGAAATCAGGGGAAAAGTCTGGAGCAAGGTAGGTGTGCCTTCGATGGAAAAGGGCCAGGTCAGGGTCATACTTAAAACAAACTAGGCATACAGGTCCATGGGCCCTAATGGGCTGCACCCACAAGTACTGAGGGAGCTGGCTGATGTCACTGCAAGGACATTCTCAAGAACCTTTGAATGCTCTTGGAGATTAGGAGAAGTGCCCAAGGACTGGAGAAAAGCAATGTCACTCCTATATTCAAGAATGGCAAGGAAGAGGACCCAGAGAACTACAGGCTGGTCAGCCTCACCTTGATCCCTGGAAAGATGAGACACATGGACCCACTGATGAAAGTTCAGCAAAGGGCCATCAAGATGAAGGGACTGGAGCAGATCGCCTATGAGAAAAGGCTGAGAGAGCTGAGACTGTTCAGCCTAGAGAAGGCTTGGAGGGATCTTATCGATGTGTACAAATACTTGAAGAAAGAACGCAGAGAAGGAGGAGACAGGTTCTTTTCAGTGGTGCCCAGCGACAAGACAAATGGCAGTGGGAACAAACTAAAACACAGGAGGATCCTTTTGAACATCAGGAAATACTTTTTCCTTGTGAGGGTGACTGAGCACTGGCACAGGTTGCCCAGAGAGGTTGTACCGTCTCCATCCTTGGAGGTATTCAAAAGCCAGCTGAACAGAGTCCTGGACAACTGGCTCTAGGTGACCCTGCTTGAGCAGGGGGTCGGACCAGGTGACCTCCAGAGGTCCCTGACAACCTCAAACATTCAGTCATTCTGTGATTCAAAGGTTAACAGAATCCAAGGCATCCAGAAGACAGATGCTATGTTATTTTTATCTTTCATATAACACCATCCTCAGTAAGAATTGTGCAAAGGATTAATTACAAATTACATCATCACTTGACCAGGTTACATGACTGCAAGTGAAGAATAAGTTCCAAGTACCTAGTCAGCAAGAAGCAAAAATGGTCAAAGAGAAGTATTTCCTGGACATATTTTAAGTTCATTTCCATGTATACAATACTGATATAGTAAGCACGGACCAGTAGACCAATAGAAATTCCAAAAGGATGCTGCCTGTCTTCATTATGGCTGCTTCAGAAGTTAGAGTCATGTTGTTACAAGCTTTTCAATTAAAACATTTGAAAACTTATCAGTTGTCTTTTTTTCCTCTATGGCGTTACTCTTTCTTTATATTGAGGGACTCGAACAGATGAAACCTTGGACAAACATCACGACACTTACCTCAGTGAACACTAAACTACTGCACAGAAGAAACAAAAGCACAGTTCGTGCCTCTTCAGGCCACCTTTTTAAAAAGTGATTCATGCCTCATTTTTAAAAGGAGCAACATTACTAAGCACAATGTTAGATGCTTCAGTAGTTGAGAAGGACAAGAGAGGAGACACCTCACCGTATCAGTGAAAAGACCTTCCAGCTCACCATAATGGCTGTTGAGAATTCTATCTTCTTTGAACACAAATTCCAAATACTTCTTGAACTAATGACCTAAAAAAGTGTCAGGTCATAACCATATGAAGGGGCAGGCAACTCACGAAGAGTACA